ATTTCCTTTACTGGCCTAACTTGCTTTTAATACTTCATTACCCACTCTACTCAGTATTATTACCTTTATTGGCCTTTTATACTTAATTCTCCTTTTTAGTCGATATAATGAAATTTGGCAAATTTGCCTGTTTGTTCTTCGACTCTAAATAAACAAACAAACAAACAAAACAAAAACATTAATTTTTCGTTTTCAGAACCTCTCTAATCTAACTTAACGTTATGTCGAGAGTAGAACCTCAACTCTTCAGGTAGAAAACTGCACAGATTGGCAGATAACCATGCATGTGAGTGCTGCTATATTATCCTAAAACAGGAGATGCGTTCAGTGTGAATTATGGCAAGAAGCAACCGATCGACACCTCAAAGAGTATGATTATTATGATGGCTACCCCCCCCCCCCCCCCGTCTCTCTCCAAATGAAAAAAACTACACAATGCTGCAAAAGTGCATGCACACCCACATTGCACACGTGAATCTCTATTCTACTTTCAATCACAGCCTCTCCATTTTAGCCCAGATTACCACATCTCACCCGCCAGTCCCGCCTTCAGCTGATGGCAGACTACTGCAGCACACCATCACTCTGACACACATATCCTTTCGTGGATGACTTGCCACATTTGCAACGTCTATCTTCCACGAACACGAACACCTAGGCTATCGTTAAAGTACACACCTACACCCCTAACAATTACCCGTTTTCACCTGTATCTATCCGCAGCACTCACCATGCTAAAATCCAGCACCACTAACTGAGAGACATTCCCACCTTCACCTCAACATCGTTTCTCATCACCATCAACTTCCTATTAACTCGTACCACCACCCAGATTCCTGCATATTCACTAGCACCGTTGTTCAGAACCTGTGCATTTTGTTTCTGTTTCAACTTGTGAAGTTTAGTCTTTGCCATGGACAACAGCAAGGCAGGCGAGATGAGTCATTTTACCTTTGATCAACTCAGTCAGAGTGGTGTAGCGTCAAACCCCTACGCTCACGATGCTTTGGTTCCACAAGACCAATCACGCAGCGCATCGACACCATTATCCTACCGACAAAGTTTGGAGGCACCAAATCTTCAGCTTAAAGGGGCACTCCGGCTTCATTTTCGACGCCGAGTTTTCGATGGCAAGACGAAAGTAGGTGAAAGAGAAGACCCCTCGAACAAGAACGAGTCTCCAGAAGCGATCGAGTCGAGCGGGAAGACGACTTTTGAATTTCGCCGAGCGAGCGCTGATGACGTAATGAGGGATTAGCTTGCCGGTGGAAATGCATCTACGCACATACATTTCACATACTTTTTGGCCAATTTTCAATCGAAGAGGAGGTTGTTTTCTATGTTCTTCCAACGTTGTGAGCGATCCCGTCTTCTATACCCTTCCAGGTATCCTGAGGGTCCTCCAGAGGAGAATTTATCTCCAGCAAAGCGTTGTTGATCCGCTAAATTCGTCTCGAGACATATTAACCCAGTACTGATAAAACGTAGAATGTTGAATCTGTGATAATTGTTGACGATGGAGAGAGAGGCTAATAGCCGCTGTCGCAGGGAGAGTGAAGCTGCTGGAAGTAACAACGGGGAGCCCGTTAGCATCATATGAGCACCCAGACTTCAAAGCAGCTTGACAAAATCGGAGGGTGCTGACTATTTCCCTCGTTGTGTATCGTGAATATTACACCAACATGAATTACTACACGTATGCTGGTGAGTTTTTCTTGTTTTTGTTCGTACACTAGTACCTATGGCTATGGCATGGCATGCTATGACCTGGAGTTCTCTTTAGCAAATTCCTTTTCCTTGGCGTTTTCTAAATTTCCGTGTAGTACTGTATGCGCGATCAATAGATATCCTTAGCTAAAAAAACGCTAACGTAAACGCAAACCTTTCCGTACTTCGGATCGTTCAAGCTGACTTTTCCCTTAGCACAAAGTACGTTATAGTTGAGACGAAGTAGTCGTGACAACCATGGCGATATGAATTTTCGTGGAACAGGTGCGGGAAATTCAAAATTTTGAACCAGGGATTAGTTTGCTGTCGTTCCGAAAGAATACCTTGGCGAGGTATTTTACTCTGGAATAGCAAAAGCACGGCGAACATGAGTTTTCGCTGTTCCCAGGTCCTTGGAAACCCTTTCCTAAACGCAGCACCGAAGACTGTAAGGGTTCTCCAGCTCCAGCACGTCTGGGAGAGGCCGATGAATTTTTTCCTCAGGAGTGCCGTGGAACTGGTCCTTTGTTTCCCAGATGGGATAGAGGGAGAAAGGCACGAAGCAGAGGACGCAGAAATTGTCAACTGAAAGGCAAAACTCGCCAAAAAGCTATACTAATGTCACAAGAGGAAGCAATCTCGACTCTCGATCTCATCTCGATCTGCACGACGTGCTTTTTATCTCCCGCCAGTTACAAAACAATGCGAGTTTTTGCATTTTTTGCAGAATTTCCATAACGAACGTCGGCCCGTTATTTTGAGCTCTGTAACGTTTTTCCGTTATCCGATAACGTCTTTTGTCACGGCTGGGAGTGAGTACCGTAAAAGTTAGCGTTATCGTACTTTTGCTAAGGATGTCTACTGTATGCCGATTTCGGTAGATGTGGGTAAAAAAATTCTATTTTCCAAATAGAGCGTTGGTAGAGAAATGGTTGCCCAAATACAACAAAATTGATTCTAAAGTTCTACAACTTTTACTAAAATCCAGTCGAAGTAAAAATGATTCTTCGTGACAGTTGGGGTCAATGAAATCTGATCCAGGCATGAAGAATGGTGACACCTGCCACCCCAAGAACGAATGCCCATTTGGTGGGGGATGTCATAGTACTCGAAGCGGTGCGCGTTTCAGTGTGGCAGTAGGAAATTTTACATGCTCTCTGGTCTATGCAACATACGATAGCCATCATGAATTGCAGTCCTCGAACGCAACTCAGACCAGAATTGGCAGTTCCCTAAATTAGATGCTTTATAATTCCATGCCCCCAGCTGTAGTTATAGAGGTTTTTGCACATTATAGTTATAGTCGATAGGTTCACACTGATGACCACAAACAACGGCAGTTCAAACTTCAAATTGTTCATGAGCTGAGAGATTTCTCTCCACTATTTCTGTTGTACACACAGGTCTGTCCAATATGCATTGACCGCAGTGGGTATGGTTTCTGCTCTGAGAAGGGAATCGCTGGAGCCACAGTCCAGCTCAACAGGCTTGCAAGAAAGAGAGAGGAGCCATCTTGTCAAGGCTGATACCTGATGTGTACCGACAGAATTCTCACGAGATACCTCACAGACTACGTCTGGTGTATACTTCATAGTACTCCTTCGACTACTGTCTAGAATCAAGTCGACGGAAACAACTCTGACTTCAAACGAGCCGTCAATTAGACAAACAAAGCCTTCTCTTATATAATTGATCACTCTGACAACTCATGACCTATTCCTAACGATTGCCACCGCTTATAAAGGTGTGGAGTGCTGTTTGGAATGTGCTCACAATCTCAATAATTCAGTGCTCTAATTATTTGAACAATGTGTTGGAAATTATTCCATTTTTCCTTCCATAAATGTTGTATCCGCAGATAATCCACAGTGTTGCAAAGTTTCAGAGTTCTCAGGGTATCAAGCAAATTATTCCAAATACAGTGAAATTGTTAGTGGACATTATAGCGTTACTTGTAGTTCCCTGGTCCTTTTCTTTGCTGTAAATTAATCATTGGCTCTCTATCCGAGTCCAACAGTGAAATTGTTAGTTCATATTGAGTGGGTATATGAGAGGGGGAGTTGAAAATATTTCTATACAAGGGACCTGCAACTGTAATGCCATGGAAAAATAGCTGGCAAATATGTAGAAAACAGAAATGCATGTTCCCATCATTGCAGGCCGAAGCTATCAGCCAGAACAGGACTATTTTACAATCACCTACAGATATTTGCGCTACTTCAGTATTCTCCGTGAGCTGTCCCATTCCACAATGGTTCATGCCACCATTATTTCTGGTATACCGGTAGTATCCATGTGCATAATTCCAAGACCATGTCGGATTCTTCTGTAATTTTTGCCGCGGCAAAAGTACATAGCATTGCTTGACTCGGTCACTGGGCTGTCAAACTTCCCATCACAAATGAACTTCAATTTCTCTTCTGTCACAAGTATATGTACAGTACTGCCCATGACTTGGCCATGCTTCATCCACAGCTGGGCGAAGAATGTGGCGTTGAATTCCATAGCACACCTTCTTGCTGCCATGCAGAAGTATGTTGAGAGAAGTGAACATATTTTTTACTGAGAAACAACAGCCACTGAAGAGGATAGCAGCAGGCTTGGGTGAATTTCCTGCAGGTACACGTTGTTTGTAGGTCCACTGGTCGGTCTCCATATCGTCAAGTTCAGAAATCACCTGTACTTCACATCTTGTGGAAGGGATCCTGATCGAATAGTTTCCTGACCATAAAATTCACTAAAACGGCGAGACAAATAGTCTGTACTCCCCGATTCCGTCAAGCTGCTTTGAAGTCTGGGTGCTCATGTGATGCTAATGGGCTCCCCGTTGTTACTTCCAGCAGCTTCACTCTCCCTGCGACAGCGGCTATCAGCCTCTCTCTCCATCGTCAACAAAATATCACAGATTCAACATTCTACACTTATCAGTACTGGGTGAATATGTCTCGAGACGAATTTAGCGGATCAACAACGCTTTGCTGGAGGTAAATTCTCCTCTGGAGGACCCTCAGGATACCTGGAAGGGTATAGAAGACGGGATCGCTCACAACGTTGGGAGAACATAGAAAACAACCTCTTCTTCGATTGAAAATTGGCCAAAAGTATGTGAAATGTATGTGCGTAGGTGCATTTCCACCGGCAAGCTAATCCCTCATTACGTCATCAGCGCTCGCTCGGCGAAATTCAAAAGTCGTCTTCCCGCTCGACTCGATCGCTTCTGGAGACTCGTTCTTGTTCGAGGGGTCTTCTCTTTCACCTACCTTCGTCTTGCCATCGAAAACTCGGCGTCGAAAATGAAGCCGGAGTGCCCCTTTAAGGATCACGAGCACTATGACAACTTGTTTGATGGAGTACTTTTGCCCTCCTTGCCAGAAGTCTTTACGGGCATGGGCTCCAATATGAACACACGACTCGTACATCATGATGCGTTTGCGCCTTTGGGTGATAGTAAGTTGACGGCAGCACAAGCGCCAGCAATGGCCTTACGGCCAAGACGACAGCATCTCCAGCCGCCAAATATTCCCGGCTTGCTTGACTTGCTACCAAGTCCACACGAACTCAGCCAGTCACTACCACACAGTAACGTATTCGGAAAGCAGCCATCAATGAAAGAACCTGAAAACCCAACGACAGCATTCTCCTTCCACCAAGGTCAGGCGGCACCGATCCTTCTGCATAGCCTAATGCAGGATAACCAGCATAATTCCAACAGCTTGAGTGATGCAGCACTCTTTCCGTTCCCGCCACAAGTTTCTAAAGGCGTCAGCTCATTTGGAAATATAGGATTCCCTCATGATGTGTTTGCGCCTACTTGTGACACGAATGCGATGGTCGTGTCAAGGCAAGGACGACAACATATTCCAAGTTTACCGGAAATGCCACCAAGTCTTCGTCACGACCTCAGTGAGCCACTTCCACAAAGCACCTTCCTCGGGCAGCAGCCGTCAATGAAAGAACCTGATAACTCAGCGACACCATTCTCCTTAAACCTAGGTCCGGCGGAACCACTCCTTCAGCCTAACCTACTCAACGGCTTGAGTGATGCAGCAATCTTTCCCTACCTGCCAAAAGTTTCTACCGCAATCCGCTCCGATGTAAATACAGGATTACATCAAGATGTGTTTGCGCCATCGCGTTGTAGCAATGTGTTCCTATCACCATCACTAGCAAGGGGCCTACAACAACAACGACGACAACAGCAAGATCACAAGCTGCCACATATTCCCAGGTTGCAGGTAATGCCACCATACCAACACGACCTTAGCGAGCCACTACCACAGAGTAACTTACTTGGACAGCAGCCGTCGAGTAAAGAACCTGCAAAATCTGCCAAAGCCAAACTAGTTTGCTCGGAATGCAATAAGAGTTTCTCGTATCCGTCGGACTTCAAAAGACACAAATCGGTGCACACTGGCGAGAGGCCATATCAGTGCATAGAGTGTGGAAAAACCTTCAAGAGGAAGTATAGTCTAACTGTGCACAAGAGAACACACACAGGTTACAAACCATATAAGTGTACAATCTCGGGCTGTGAACAGGCATTCTCACAGTCCGGCAATCGCAACCGGCATGTGCTTCGCCACAAGGCGAATGTCAAGAAGCAAACTAAACCTGCCAGTGGATGCAACTGAATAGACACTGCTCCACTGGACCAGTATCTCCAGTTCAAACACAACAATGTCGGAAGTAGCACCAAATCAGAAGGTAACAGTGCCAGGAAATGGGGTTACAGGGGTGTACGTTTTTGGAAACATGATTTCTGTGTTGGCGTGCACTGTGTGTAATTTGAGCAATAGAATGATCTGACAAGTGTGTGTGTGTACAAGTAGTATCCTGGCCTAAACTGCATTTGCTGCTGCACCCATCCTATCACCCTCCGCTGGCAACACCCTCACGTCTTTGATTTATGCAAAACAGTATATGTACAGGGTATTATCTTGTTGTAGAACGATGTTTTGGTTTTCTGAATGATGAAATTTCCCGTGTCTCTTGTCTCGCGTATGGTTTGTTGTCGCATTTTTGGTTTGTCGAGTTGTGCTACAATGTTACCTTGTTCGTTTGTGGCTTTTCTCTTTTGCTGTGTTTCCTGTTGCTACATGTTGCTGTTGTGTATGTGGAACATTTTGGTCGTTTATTCAATGTACCCGTTTTTGGATTTAAGAGTTCAAATAAAGTAAACAAAGAAAGAAACAGGGGAAGAGTGTGGTGCTCCCTTCATGGGAGCTCATGGTTTTCCTGCCGACTTGAATTCTCACTACAAACAAATAACATCAAAATATATTTGTGGAATGTCAATAATGTCATCAAGGGGGGGGGGAGGGGCAGGAGTTGTAGAACAATGTACTTCCTCTCTGTATGATGATATCCCCCAAACTGTCTCTTGTTTCGCGTGCATGCGTGAGATGAGCATACGGAATTAGTGAGTCTTCAGTCTTGCCTTTTCAGTCTTCTTGTTCACCCGTGGAAGTTGTTAAGAGTGGCTTTTGCAGTAAAAAGACAACTGTCGCTGGAGAGACCTTGGGAGTGTTGTGTGCTACCCACCACCTCGACCAGCATATACACCATCCAACACCCGGTGAAAACACGTTAGACCTAGTTCTCTCCGACTTCACTACCACAGTATCAACCAACGTGCTTGTTCCCCTCGGCAGGTCCGATCATGCCATTTTGATATGCAACTTCAAAGCGGTTTCCGCACGCCGCGATCCTACAACCTCTCACAAGGTGTGGAAATACGACAGTGCTGACTGGAACAGACTTAGGGCATTTTACCGCGGTCACGACTGGTAGTCGATAATGTCAGACGATCCCACTCTGCTTCGCGAGCGATTGTATTTGTATTTGTATTTTTATTTCCATTGCTATCAGGTTCGGCCTCATTTCCTCTGTGATGCGCTGACGAGTCCACAAAGGACGAAACAGTTCTGTCCGCAGATTGTGTATTTGTATTTATATAATTATCTTATGGCACATCATGATGACGGCCAGTAAAACTGAGACAAGGGTGAAAGCCAAGAAACAACAGCAGTAAAACAGATAAAAGAATACAAATAAAAGGCAAAAGAAGCAGGACAAAAATGTTACGAGTTATGACTAACTGTCCACCAATGTAACCAGATCTTATACAGTCAGCGAGTGCGACAAAATGGCACAAAACTGACAAGGAGTACTGAGACATTTGGCGACCTGTTCTTCTTTTCACAATAATTTAATTGGCTCACCATCCGAGTTAAATATTGCACACCTGATGAGCCGTCATGACCTATACGGCGAAACGTACGTCGTGTGGAAATGAGGCCGAATAGAACAGTGAGTTTCAGAGGTGTTCATCAACTTTCATTACTTTCCTGACAAACAAAACTGTCTGGCTGACAACGTCTTGGCAAGACCAAAAACCGCCAGAACAGAACGGAAAACAATTAGGTTGTATCCAGAAAGATAAGCACGAGAGATTCAAATATATTCAAATAACAGCAGCCACGTGGTGCATACGACGCATCACACGGAAAAGGCATGCATAGTCCAAGTGTGTCGCGGCGTGCAAGGCACAGCGAGTAGTAAACTTATTAGTATGTACCATGCGATAATATGGAATGCATCATTCTGTCGTCCACATGACTGTATCAAAGGAGGCGAAATCGCCTGTTTGTGGTGCGACGTTAAATAAACTTATACAACAACAACAACAACAACATCACGACGTCACAATCAGTGTGTCTCATCGGTAGACCTTCTGAACAACTTGTTATTGTACATAACTAGTCCATCAATTCATACATGATAGTGGAGTTCAGTAGGGTGTTGACGTTTCGGTTTGTCACTATTCGTCTTCCCTTTCTACGTTCATTACATAAACTTGAGCCACCCAAGTTGGGTGGTCTGTTGCTTTGCGTCGTCGAGTTGTAGTAAGGCCGGTCTGTCCAATAGTCTTACTAGTTTCGTCATCATCCAGTAACTTTCGGCATTTTTTGTTGCGGTGATGCGTAGCTCGTGCTCTTCTTCGTTGCGCTTTCCTTCCCCTCTCCGACCTTTCCAAACCTAAGCCTTCCAATTTGAAAGGTTGTTGGTTTGCGCCTGGGAGACGTGTTGGAGCTAGGTGTCAGGTCGCCGAATGTCTCAGTACTCCTTGTCAGTTTTGTGCCATTTTGTCGCGCTCGCTGACTGTATAAGATCTGGTTACGTTGGTGGACATTTAGTCATAACTCGTAACATTTTTGTCCTTCTTCTTTTCACAATAATTTAATTGGCTCACCATCCCAGTTAAATAAAAGGCAAAGAAGGCAAAGGAGGAGACAAACCAGCAGTATTTTATGCAAATACATGAAACCTATAATTGAGCAGAGATTTTAGCAACAAAAGTATCCATCAACGTGCTGGTCTTGGCCTGCGTTGGTAATGTTGCCCAAAACACTTAGCCAGCAAAGATCGGGGATGTAGTGAATAGGGTGGAGCCAGCGCGTGAAGACTGAATGAGTTCCGGGTATTCCGTGTTTCGGAGAACCAGTTATAAACCTGCATAAGCAAGGGTATTTATTTGGTAATATTTTATGTATGAGAACACACAGGTGGTACTTATGTCGAGTGGAAAGGGGACTGATCTTGGCATTGACCTCGGCCAGTCTGCAAGGCATGGACCAGTACATCCCCACCAAAGTCTTCACCACTCGTTCCTCTGACCCCCTCACTGGTGGACTCCAGAGGGCATCATTACTGAAGAGGCAAAGGAGAAGCAGTGGAAGAAGTGGAGGCGGAACCCGCACCAGGATGACCTCAAGGCCTCTTGCATTGCTCCTGTAAACCGAGCTGTCCACACATAGCAGATCGCTCATATGTAGGCCTGGGCGGATAATGCTATCATTATAAGTAGCGATTTGCAACGAGCATTATGCTAGCATTATAACACTACATTTCTACAAAAGTGGCATTATACTCAAAATATTTAATTTAAATGGCCCTTACTTCTGCGAAAACCAGGCTTAGGGTGAAAATCATTGTTTTGAGAAAAATGATGTTTTATAAAAAGGTTGTGTCGCGTGGACGCTCGAGTGCAGTGTCAGTGAAGTGGAACCAAAGAGAATCTCGCTTGTTTGAAGAAGTAGCAATCATGGCAGGAAGGGTTTCAGAAGTCAGGGAAATCAAAGGGCTTCCGGTAGAATAGTCTCTGCTACTCCTCTAGTCACAACGAAGAGTTTTTGAGCGAATTGAACAGATTCCATCTCCTACACTCAGAGATGGCGAAATTTCTGCGCTAGCTGCTGCTTGGGGAAAATGGTGAAGAAATCGTCTCCAGTTATAGTCGTGATGGCGATAGTGAAGAGAACCTGGACGACATCGATCCAGCCAATCGAAGTACGGAGATACTAGCTGCTTCTGGACCTCACACAAAGGGAACACACACAGCAGAGCTCATACGTTTGCAGCAAGTTCACGAGGAAAAAGGCTTGAAGCGCAGTGTGAAAACTGTTTTTTATTGAAGTCTTTGGCGATGAAGTGCTACTGAATGCCAGGCGAATGAGCGAGCAGATCGATAGGCCTCCACTCGAGACATTCCTCGCTGGACAGCTAGCTGCAAGGGATTGTATGGAGCAATAGCAGCATACAATTAGCATTATGATCATGATTTTCTAGCATTTTCCATGCCGTCTACGTAGAACTACGAAACGTGCACAATACTGCCCAAACCAAGCCATTTTCCATACTTACTACTGGTGAATTGCTGGCATTACAGAGGAACAGCAGCATTATAAGTAGCATTATGATACAGTTTTTCTGGCATTGCCATTAGCATTATCCCGCAAAATAACTAGCATTATCCGCCCAGGCCTACTCATATGTCTAGCGTCAATCCCCTGCGCCACACTCTCAGGTGCCAGTCACTTAGTGACAAACAATGGTGGACCAACATGAAGAAGGTCAATGGCGTTACACGCAACTCCGCTAGTGTCCCTCTGCTAGTCGACAGCCATGGCAAGGAGTATCACGCCTCAGCAGAGAAGGCTGAGTGCCTGGAAAAGCATTTCTCCTCGAAATGCAGCCTGGGCAACCAAGAACTGACTATCAATGACCATCCTGCGGTGACCACCCCGACCCACGAGCCATTAGAGCACGTACATTTCCGAGAAGCTACAGTCCAGCGGCATCTTGCAAGGCTAGTCCCATCCAAAGGCATCTGGACCTAACTGTATTCCATCTTGGGTGTTGAAAGAGTGCTGTAAGGAACTTGCCGCTCCCACCACGTAACTGTTTAGTGCTAACGTTAGCTTTGGTGCCGGTGTTGGACCGTCGCAATGGAAGCTCGCTCACGTGGTCCCGGTATACAAGAAGCCACCTCGCTCTAGGCCATCCAACTACCAATCTGTATCCTTTGCTCTCCATTTTATCCAAGGGTATGGAGAGTATTATCAACCAACAAGTCACCAATTTCCTGGAGCGCAATCTGCCTGACAGCCAGTTTGGTTTTAGGCGTGGACCAGGCACAGCTGTGACCTTCTTACAGCACTGCAGAGCGAATGGGTGCAGATTGTAGCTGGGAGGGGGGGGGGGACTGTGTCAAATATTAGCAATATTGCCGGTGCGTTTGAGCCCGTATCTCATGTCGGCCTCCTCAACAAGGCAGAGCGAGTAGGCATCG